ATATATATTGGGAGAATTATATACAGACCATAGGTTATTTTTTTTGAATAAAATGAGTAATATGGGTTGGGGTTTTACCATGAATCTTAATATTTGAAGGAGAATTTAAAATATTTTGTTTTTTTTTTTTTTGTGCTGCTATATATAGGCATATAATTCATTATTTATGCTCATGTCCACAAGAGTCCAGCAATAGAATTAACAGACGGCTGCTGGAAGTTGCCCCACGGAAGCGGCAACGTGCTTTGCTCTCAAGGAAGCGGAGAAGCAGAGGGAAACGCGGGATGGATCGTGGCTGAAAAAGCAGACCCGCACGGTTTTTGCTCGAAAACTCCCATATCCTTTCATGCTTGCGGCCGGTGCGGTTATAAAAGCACTCAACACGCCTTCCATTCAACGCTCTGCTTTCAAGAAGTTCAAACAAACCTGAACCTTGGGTTGGCTAGAGAGAGTTATTTTATCTTAATCTTCCTTGGCCTCTGCTCTGATCAGCGTTTACTCAATGGAGGAGCAGGTAAGTTTTACGTGATTTTATTCTTGATTTATAGTTTAAAATCCTGCAAAGTAGAGTAATTTGTATTGTATTTAGGGTTTAGGGTTTGTCTTATTTTGATACGCTTCAGAGGCAGACAATTAACACAGATTTAATAAATATAAATGAGAGACGGTTCTAAAGCCAAACACCGCCTAAGATTGAATTAGAGACAAAATCTTGAAAGAAAGCCATAATGAGGTTATATACAATCAAATATTATATCAGGGGCCCTTCTGGGGATCATTTTTATTTTTGATATATATATTTTTTTATTTTTGTTTTGAACTCCAAAAAAATATACATATTTGACATATTTTGATTAGGATATAATTGGTTTTAAAAATACTCAAAATACATAAAAATTATTTTGAGAGGTTTCAAAAAACATTAATTTATTTATAGCAACAAAAAAAAACATATGAAAAATATACTTAATAAATTATTTTTACTCATTTAAATATTGTCAGATATCATAAAAATTAATTTATATTTCATTTTTACTTTTTGGATGCACTTTGCTATGGGCAACAAGCAGGAACTTGTCTCCACATTTCTTGAAATCACAATGAGCAATTGTAGGGATTCTGCTGCGAACATCCTCAAGGTTCATAGATTATTTGTACTAATGCAAATTTATATTATTAAAAAAGTTATTATTATCATGCAATGAATAGTGATAAATATGTTATATAATTATCTTCTGTAGGATGCAAGATGGAATATTCATGCTGCTATTGAATTATTTTTTGACCGTGATGATTCTCTTGGAGAAGCAACAACATCGCAATCTAATCCTCATTCCAATTTATTATTTACTGACATTACACCAACGTAAGTTATTTTGATTTTATCTTCAAATTATTTTAGTATTTGCTTTTTTGGTAAGCTCTGAAATATTTAAATATATTTTTATAAATTTTATTTGTAGTGGTTGGGGCTCAGAAGATGAAAATGACATTGATAATGACCCAGCGCGTCATGATTTTGATGTCATTGTCCACCATCCGTAAGTGAAATTTATTATTATTATTTTTTTTATTCTTATTATAATTATATATATAGATTTCAGACTTAATTCATTACAATATTTTTATATTTTTATTTACCAATCATATAATATTTTAAGTATAACATTTTAACTGCCCAATTTAAAAAACTAACATTCAACCATCCAAAACTTTCTTTTTTTTTATTGCAACTACCCTCCGTCACCCATTCCTTGAAGATTTTGGGTGGCTTAAATGTAAATTTTTACATTTAGATTGTTATTATTTCTTATTTAATATTTTGAGCAATTGACATATAAATCCCTCTTTTTTTTTCTTTTTTTTTTTTGCATGGTTCTTAAAGTATATATAGGGGTTGGGGCTCAGAGGATGAAAATGAGGTTGGTGAATTTCAAGAACATGATGATAACGAGAATAGGTATGTTATTGAAACTAAATTAATGAAAGCGATGATCAACCATTTAATGTTTTAGTAAGAGAACATTTTTTTTTCTTTTAAATCTATAATTATAGTGATGGTTCCGAATTTTATACGCATGTTGATATGTTTCAATGCTTTAATGTTTTATTTTGCTTATTTCTCTTAGGTTAAATGAAGATTATTTTGTAAGATTCTCTTTTAATTCTATAGCTTTGTTTAGATGTATGAAAATTACATCTTAGGTTTAGTTATCTCACTTTGTTGATTTCTTTCTTATATTTTGGTGTGAATGTAAACAAATTATTTGATTATGGCTATGAAGTAAAAATTTGAATTACTGTTTGTTGGTCATGTAGCCTATTACATGTTGAATGTATATGTTTGAATTTTTGTATAAATGAAGAGTTTCTAATTTACAGTTTTATTCAATAATGTGTACAATATTTTTAGTTTAATCTGTCATAAGGTGTGTGTCTCTCTGGTAATTGACTTTTTCTTTTAGTTAATATGATTGCTTGCATTATTCTCTCCATCATCCCGTTTTGCTTAATAATTTGTTAATTTGGACAATTATGAAATGTTTAGTTAATGAGTAATTGTAGTTTTTTTTCCTCTGTTGTGGCTTAGCAATTCATTTTACTTGCTTGCAAGCGGCATCTGATTTGTTATTACATAAATAATAGTTATAAATGATAAGTTGAATTTTAAAATTAGTAATTAATTATAGAAAATGAGTGGATTTTATCTCAAAATTAGATTTGAAGCAATTAGATGTTTTTTTATTTTATTTATTTATGTTCAGCCACTTAAACAATTAGTGCATGAAATTATTAATTAAATTTCTATTCTTCTTCTTTTTAAAATGTTATGTTTACCTTAAGTGATTGCAGGTTAGAATCTAATGCTGGAACTGATGAAGATTCTGATTGGAAAGAAGAAGAAGAAGAATTTCATGAAACAAATTTACCTGCAATACACTTAATGTTCTATGGTTGCTTTTTTGAGGTAAATAAACTATTACACAAATATTATTTTTTTCAAATAATATGTATTGTTTTATATGCAGGCAAAGGTACAGGCTTCCAGTCATGATAAATGGTTATTAGTACATGTGCAACAAAGAAAGCAGTTTAACTCGCATGTGGTAGTCATCATAAAAACTAGTGATATCTCTTTTTTAATTTTTAATGTTACAAAAAAATTTCAGGTATTTTCATTTCTAACACTTTATGTTTACACGCATAATACTCGAATCTGTCACATCAAATCCAAAATATTGTTATTGCTAACTTTCTAAAAGTGAGATGTATTTTTGTATGCATAGATTGATGACACAGATGTGTGGTGTGTTGAATGTAAATATAGAAGTTTAGATTGTTAGAATTGTGTGGTATATATGTTAATTTTTCTTTACAAATATGCATTATTTTAACTGTCGCATTGTGCAGCTAAAGAGAGAACCATGGTCAAATGCCACCCTTCAAGAGCAATTGAGTTCACATTTTGTATTTTGGGAGGTATGTAATTGTATTGTTTTTTGTAGCAAGCTACCATAAGTTTTGGACAAAAAAGTATTTTAAAAGTTTTTTATCATAATATTAACATTTTTTAGACTAAAATATATTATACTAATTCTTTTATTTGCACAATGTTACTATTTAGACTTATCACGAAGACATTGAGGGAAAAAAAGTATGTTGTTTTTACAAGGTGACGACATTGCCTGTAATTATGGTCATTGATCCCATAACAGGTGCAAAAATATATGTTTGCCATGAAATGAAGCAACCAGAGAGCTTATTAGAGGTAAACTTAAATTTTAGCTGATTTTTACCTCAAAAAATTAAATATAATAAATAAGATTTTATGAAAATTAGTTCATTTTTTTGTTTTTTTATAGTATTTGATGTAATTCTTAGTTATTTACAACTATTTTAAAATTAATTGGATTTTACTCCATCTGTTTTAACTTAACTAAACTGAATTGTTGGACTATTTTTGAAAATTTATGATTTATAAATCCTCAAATTTTATTTACATGAAAAAGTGTTTCACAACATATCAGTTGTATTAAAAAATGATCACCTTCTTTTATTCAGGATTTGATGATGTTTTATGATAGAAGTCCAAAGCAGTATCTTGCTGAGAGCTTACAAAGAAAAGATGATAATGTTTCATCTGACCAAATAGGTTTGCTAAAAATATGCATGTTATTGTTTCTTTTAATGAAATTTTATGTGACAATTCGTAATATCCCAATTTATTTTATTTCTAGCTTGTTTTTTTCTCATTGGCAATTTTAACCCAATAGAATTTATTTTTATCCTTAGTTTTTTTTCGTCGAGTGATGCTTCTGCCAATTTTTTTAACTAGCTAAAGTTCCACAACTATCTAGTAAAACTTAGCTAAGAACTGGGAGTGTCAAATTAAGTTTGCGCATTGGGTTCTATTCTAATCCAAAAATTCTTGAATCGACCCAAAACTATTTGACCCTAACCCAACCACGAATTAAACGAGTCATAATGTTTAAAATGAATCAACATTCAACCCACCGACTCGAACCCGCCCATATAACCTATTAAACATAGCACACAATTGTTATTCAGATCAAATTTGGGTTGATTTGAAGTCAATCTCGAGTCAATTTCGGGTTGGCATATTGATTTTGAGTCAAGGTTAAACTAGCAGACAATTTTAGGTTATTTTCGGGCTGTTGATCAACCCAAATCCAACCCAAAAAACAAACGTATTAGGATTCATAACCCAGACATAACACAAAATTTATTTGTGCTACATGAACCTTAATTTTTTTAGTTTAGTTCAGGTTGAGTTGACTTGTCATGATCAATTTTTGACATACTATACTGCAATTTTTTGTTATTATTTTTTATTTTGGTTGGCTAACATAAATTTATTTTGAAGAAATTTACTTTATAATAAGCAATTTGATGATTTCCAAATTTGTGTTTTTTCAATAGAAAATGAAGTAGCACAACCTAAGGAAATCAGTTCTGCAGTGATAACAAAACCAGGTTATCCCCCTCTTCCTGAAGAGCCTACAGACGAAAAGCTCATTTGCCGAGTAGGAATATGCCTTCCTAATAGCCAGAGAGTGCGGAGGAGCTTCCTTAAAACTGATCCAACAAAGGTAAAGTCTCCCAGCAAATAATTAATAATAAAGGCATTTACATACATAACACACAATTCTTATGCATTTACTTCTCTCACGCCAAAAGTTTCATATTTAAACACATAGCACTCTAATCGTTAATATCACATGAAAATAAAACTACTATCACTTATTAAAAGTGAAATACACATTTTCATGCATAGGAAAGCACCAAAGTCCTATTAGGGGCGGGTTTGGGTTTACCTGAAACTGGCCCGATGACCCGAATATTTTATCTGTCGAAAATCCTAACCCGAACCTAACCCTCCATCAACCTGTCAACCCGTATATGATCTATATAACATGTTTAACATAAAAATAGCAACTATTCATGGTAAAATTGGGTCATTCGAGTCAATTTCAGGTTGGCGGGTTAACCCTAAATTTACTCGAAAAAATAAACATGTTAGATTTTTTATGTTGAACCTGGCTTAGAAATTATTAAAATCAACTCAAACTCGGATTATTTGAGTCGGGTTTGGGTTTAGTCGACGTATCGGGTCAATTTTTGACACCATTATTGCTAGGATGAAACTTCGAATGTTTTGGTGTGAGACAGGTAAATACATAAGAACTGCATGCTACGTATATAAATTTCTCATAATAATAATAATGTTTTTCATTTATAAATTTATGCTTTTTATTTTTATGCAGTTGTTATGGTCTTTCTGTTCAACTTTGCTGGAGGAAGAAGAATCTCAGAGTTTCCATTTCATAGTTCCCAACTCTCCCAAATTATTTTATGATAATGATGCAACATTTGAGGAGGCTGCTTTATCTAACACCCTTTTAAGACTTGGCGTGGAAAGAGTTAATTAGCTAAATGTTATTAGCACTTAGTTTTTAAACTTTTTTTTTTATTCCCACGGTTTTAAGTACTTATGTTAATTAAGATATTTACATTTCTTGAAGGAGTTTGTAGTTTGTACGTCATTTAGAGGACAAAAGAAGAATTACAATGCATTACATAGCCAATTATTTACACTTGATATATCTTTTTAAATTTTTAATCCAAGCGTTTTTTTTTAAATGTGGCAAAATTTTTTCACTGAAATCTAATTTATAAGTTACCGTTTTTTTTGTTATTATTATTATTATTATTATTATTATTATTTTGCTAGTGCAATATTCTCAAGAAAAAAGGAGGATTGACAAAGTATTTTCTTATTTCAATTGGATTACATCAGGAATTGACTTTAAGCCCATAACATTTTATTTTAGTTATGAATGTTCTTACTAGACAATTATAGGAGGATGTATTTAGGTGTATGGTTTTCACTGATGATATACTTATTGTTGATAAGATTATCTTTTGGTACAGGAAAAACTTTGATATATAGAGATTAACCTTCAAGCAGATCTAACATCTAATACGTGGAATATAATTTTAATAATACTAGATCTAGTTGCGGTGTTATAATAATGAATCATGAAGTCATTAACATGAGTGAACATTTTAGATATCTTGAGTCTATTGTTCAAAGCAATGATGATATGAATGGAAATGTTATTTGTAGAATTTAAGTTGGATGGTTGAAGTGGAGGAATGCATAAGGATTATTTTGTGATAGAAAATACTACTTAAACTTATAGAAAAATTTTATAAGAATGTTATGAGATCTACATTGTTTTATGGTGCAGAATGTTGGATTGAAAAAGAGAAGCACAAAGTTAAGAGTTAATGAGATAAGAATGCTGAGGTGGACAAGTGGATGCATTACATAGTCAATTATTTACACTTGATATATTTTTTTTAATTTTTAATCCATGCGTTTTTATGAAAGTGTGACAAAATTTTTTCACTAAAGTCTAATTTACAAGTTATCGTTTTTTTTGTTATTATTATTATTTTTATTATTTTGCTAGTGCAATGTTCTCAAGAAAAAAAAAGAGGATTGATAAAGTATTTTCTTATTTCAATTGTATTACATCAGGAATTGAGTTTAAGCCCATATCATTTTGTTTTTGTTATGAATGTTCTTACTAGACAATTATAGGAGGATGTATCTAGGTGCATGGTTTTCACTGATGATATACTTATTGTCGATAAGATTATCTTTTCGTTCAAGAAAAACTTGATATATAGAGATTAACCTTCGAGTCTAAAGGCTTTCATTTGAGCAGATCTAACATCTAATACGTGGAATATAATTTTAATAATATTAGTTCTAGTGGCGGGGTTATAATAATGAATCAGAAAGTCATTAACATGAGTGAATATTTTAGATATCTTGCGTCTATTGTTCAAAGCAATGATGATATAAATGGAAATGTTATTTGTAGAATTTAAGTTTGATTGTTGAAGTGGGGGAATGCATTAGGATTATTCTGTGATAGAAAATACAACTTAGACTTACAGAAAAATTTTATGAGAATGTTGTGAGAGCTACATTGTTTTATGGTGCAGAATGTTGGCTTGAAAAAGAGAAGCACAAAGTTAAGTGTTAATGAGATAAGAATGCTAAGGTGGACAAGTAACTTTACATTTAGAAATAAACTGTGAAACAAATATATTCGTGAAAGGATTGGAGTAGCTCAAATGATAGATAAGATTGGAGAGAGCCGCCTTAGTTGGATTGTCACATTAAACGTCGACCATTGGATGCAAGTTAGGAGAGTAGATGTTTTAGATTTTACTTATGTTAAGAAAGGTAGAGGAAGACCTAAAAATACTTGGGTATGATGCATATATATGATCTTAATTTTATTAGAAATAAATAAAAATATGACAATAAAAAATAATAGAAAAAATGATTCATATAGTCAACCAAACAATGGGATAAAGGCTTATTGTTGTAGTATTGCAAAGTTCTAATAGTATGCATGTAGTCATTGCAGTTTTATTTTACCGCTTGTAGTAATATTGTATTTGTACTAGATTGCTCTTTCTAACATGGTTCTCTAAGGTGGTGTGGGGTCAATGGGGTCAAAATTTAACTTTGTTATATTATAAATAATTTGTTTTTTTATTATTTTAATCTATAAATGAGAATTAACTATATATATTTTTTACACTAATGTATTTTTAAATCATTGAATATGAGACAGACTAATAATGTCATATGCATTCCTAATCTCTCATGTGAGAATCTTATGTTGGTTAATGTACCTCTACGATTAGAAACTTTTTAACATAATCAGAATATCATGCATCTAAATCTAACTACTCAATCTCAAAGAATTTGAATGAGAGTTGTTCACTCTTCATTAATTTATTTGAGCTAAAGGTTGAATAAATAATTAATATAAGAAACTAATATTCTAATATGTATAAACAATTTTAATGAAGAAAAAAACATAAAATATAAATTCATACTTAAAAAAAAAATATGATTTCTAAAAAGGTTACTGTGTTAAGAAAAACTTAAGTTTATAGTTTAGTCTTTTATTGGATCTATGTATAAATGTAAGTCATTTTGTATTTCTATGCTAAAATATAAATTCATTCAAGAAGAACACTTCACATTTCACAATTCATCATTATTTCACCGTGCAAGAAGATATCTCATATTTACCAAGAAACAGGTCTCATGGTTCCAAAATGACGAAGCACAATGCATTCATACCAAGTAAATTCAGCAGCTATAGAAATGGATTTAAATTTTACCAATGAGAAGGACATGTTGAATCTTTAGAAACGAATTAAATTCACCTAAGTCAACCTGATTGCATCTCTTAAATCAATTCACATTCAGTTTCCAACAGATTCAGAAGTTTTAACCAAGATATTTCCAACAAAATTTCTATGCCTAGGTGATGTGCTTGTAAGGGATTATGAAATATGGTTGTTGGGTATGTAGATACATGAGAATTGTATGTTACCTATCAAACTTTCTAAATGTTGAAATAATTAAGAGCATATCGTAATAATAAATCTCACCGAGAGATAAAATGAAATCATAACATCGACCAACCGCTAACTTTACCATGCATTTAAAAAAGTTTAGGAGAAGATATGCTATGGGAAATGAATTCTAAACATATGTGTACATCGAATCATAATCCCTTAGCAATTCTTGTAAATTTCGGACGGTTATAATAGCATTTCAATCATATCTCAATCATAAACGACTAGAATCAAGAAGTAAGAACACCCATTTATCTCTTCTCGTATCATATTTATATGTTTTGATGCCGATGAAGAAGACTTTCAGGTTTCCACACAACTAGTCACAAATTTCAGATTTTATGAACCAAAATTGTCAAGAAAATTAACAAACACTCACACTTCCATACATACTCTCCAACTCTTTCTACACTTACATATTTCACAACTAGACTTTAATCTTTACCACCCAAACCATTCATATCGCATCAAAATATCACTACTCTTAACTTTAACAAGATGAAATACACCTTATTCATGTATATGTTTAGAGCGTCAAAGTGTTATGCATGTAAATATCTCCTTGAAATAAAGCCTAGGTGCTAGGTGTGTAAATACGTGGAAGAAAGTGATACATGTGTAACTTATTAAAATTTGGTTCTTGAACATGTGGATAGATGGAAATTAAGTGTCGCGCACATAAATAATGGAGATATGCAGCATGCATGTAGATATTAGTGCTTAGGTGGTAAATATGTAAATGGGATATGACTAGCCATGAAAGTCTATTAGCTTGACTGGTAGGTATGTAAAATTGAAGATTAATTGCTAGATAGGTAAATGTAAGGAAGCTGGGTGGTAAGTAAATAAATCTTCCCTTCTTTGGTTGGCATTCATCTTAAATCACATGAATCAGGAATAATGAACATGCAAGGGAA